TGTTTTTCACAATAAAAGCCCTCAGTCTCCTCCCTGTAGTGCTGCTTGCTGACAGTGTTTTTCACAATAAAAGCCCTCAGTCTCCTCCCTGTAGTGCTGCTTGCTGACAGTGTTTTTCACAATAAAAGCCCTCAGTGTCTGAGCTTCCCATGATGCATTGCAGGAGGTGCTGGGCTACAAGGTGGACCACCAGGTGTCGGTGTACCTGGTGGCCGTGCTGGAGTACATCTCCGCTGACATCTTGAAGCTGGCAGGGAACTACGTGAGGAACATCCGCCACTACGAGATCTGCCAGCAGGACATCACTGTGGCCATGTGTGCAGACAAGGTACACACACACACACACACACACACACACACACACACAGTGTTCAGTTATTTATTATTGTTGCGTCTGATCTGAACACTGTTAGCATCAACACACTGGACACTTCTCTAATGTATTTGTGTGTGTGTTTCTCTCTCTCTGTGTGTGTGTGTGTTTTTATATATATCTGTGTATGTGTGTGTGTGTGTGTGTGTGTGTGTGTGTGTGTGTGTGTGTGTGTGTGTGTGTGTGTGTGTGTGTGTGTGTGTGTGTGTGTGTGTGTGTGTGTGTGTGTGTGTGTGTGTGTGTGTGTGTGTGTGGTGTGTGTGTGTGTGTGTGTGTGTGTGTGTGTGTGTGTGTGTGTGTGTGTGTGTGTGTGTGTGTGTGTGTGTGTGTGTGTGTGTAGGTCCTGATGGACATGTTCCACCAGGACGAAGAGGACGTCAGTGTGTTTCCTCTGATGGACGAGGAGCCGTCAGCCAATGAGGAGCAGAGTTACTACGACCTGGTGAGGAGCTTCCTGTCCGACGGCCGGACCTTTGAGAGGACCCTGACCCTCCTGATCAAAGTGTTCAGAGAGCCCTTCACCTGCAGTGAGGCGCTCTACTCTCAGCAGGTACTAATACACACATACACATATATATATATACTATTACTATCAAGTGTTCAGAGAGCCCTTCACCTGCAGGGAGGCGCTCTACTCTCAGCAGGTACTAATACACACATACACATATATATATATATACTATTACTATCAAGTGTTCAGAGAGCCCTTCACCTGCAGGGAGGCGCTCTACTCTCAGCAGGTACTAATACACACATACACATATATATATATATACTATTACTATCAAGTGTTCAGAGAGCCCTTCACCTGCAGGGAGGCGCTCTACTCTCAGCAGGTACTAATACACACATACACATATATATATATATACTATTACTATCAAGTGTTCAGAGAGCCCTTCACCTGCAGGGAGGCGCTCTACTCTCAGCAGGTACTAATACACACATACACATATATATATATATACTATTACTATCAAGTGTTCAGAGAGCCCTTCACCTGCAGGGAGGCGCTCTACTCTCAGCAGGTACTAATACACAAATACACATATATATATATATACTATTACTATCAAGTGTTCAGAGAGCCCTTCACCTGCAGGGACGCACTCTACTCTCAGCAGGTACTAATACACACATACACATATATATATATATACTATTACTATCAAGTGTTCAGAGAGCCCTTCACCTGCAGGGACGCACTCTACTCTCAGCAGGTACTAATACACACATACACATATATATATATATACTATTACTATCAAGTGTTCAGAGAGCCCTTCACCTGCAGGGAGGCGCTCTACTCTCAGCAGGTACTAATACACACATACACATATATATATATATACTATTACTATCAAGTGTTCAGAGAGCCCTTCACCTGCAGGGAGGCGCTCTACTCTCAGCAGGTACTAATACACACATACACATATATATATATATACTATTACTATCAAGTGTTCAGAGAGCCCTTCACCTGCAGGGACGCACTCTACTCTCAGCAGGTACTAATACACACATACACATATATATATATATACTATTACTATCAAGTGTTCAGAGAGCCCTTCACCTGCAGGGACGCACTCTACTCTCAGCAGGTACTAATACACACATACACATATATATATATATACTATTACTATCAAGTGTTCAGAGAGCCCTTCACCTGCAGGGAGGCGCTCTACTCTCAGCAGGTACTAATACACACATACACATATATATATATTAGGGCTGTCAGTCGATTAAAATAGTTAATCTCGATTAATGGCAAATTAATCGCACATTTTTGATCTGTTCTAAATGTACCTTAGAGGAATATTTTTCAAGTTTTTAATACTCTTATCAACATATGAGAGGACAAATATGCTTTATGCTAATGTTTATTATCATTTGAACAATGACAAATATTCTCATGAATATTAAATACAACAACCTGTGTGTGTGTGTGTGTGTGTGTGTGTGTGTGTGTGTGTGTGTGTGTGTGTGTGTGTGTGTGTGTGTGTGTGTGTGTGTGTGTGTGTGTGTGTGTGTGTGTGTGTGTGTGTGTGTGTGTGTGTGTGTGTGTGTGTGTGTGTGTGTGTGATGGATCGTTGGAGCTATGAGCAACTCAAGGCATATGCTCGAACGGGAGCTGCCTGGACGCTGCGATCATGTTGCGCACTATCCGTGCTGAGTGTGCTGACTTCTCGTACAATGTCCCACTGTCTGGCTTCCTGCATAAAGTCAAGTGCTCGGCGCAGTTGTGGCAAAATGTCGCTCCTCTGTTTTCATTTAAACAGCTCCATATCCGTTAGCGCAGCTAGCTAGCACCAGATGCTAACAACAACAATGCACGTAAGGTCTCTCTCTCGCTCGCTCGGGCCACACATACACACACCCTCCCGGTCCTCCCGATGGCCAGTCGGTGCCTGCCGGTGAGCGTGGAAGTGTGGTCTGCCACAAGCGGGCAGCAGGAGCGGGGCTGTCAGCATCAGCTTGTAGACGGTATTTTAAACTCGATGCGCTCTGAAACTACGGGGCGGCCGAGGACAAAAAATACACATGTGTTAATCGCGTTAAAATAATTAGTGGTGTTTTTATTTTTTTATTAACGCGTTAACTTGACAGCCCTAATATATATATATACTATTACTATCAAGTGTTCAGAGAGCCCTTCACCTGCAGGGACGCACTCTACTGTCAGCAGGTACTAATACACACATACACCAGGGTTTCCGTTAGCCGGTAATTACCGGTTTTTAGCTGGTAACATTTATTAAAAACCGGTAAATTCAAAACCTGCCGGTCAAAATGTCTGGTAATAATTAGGAAGGCTCCGATAGATCGGCCACCGGTCATCATCGGCCGATATTCACTCTTAATAGTTTGATCGGTGCTCTCTATAAAGGCCGATCAGGAGAGCTGGATCTGATCGATATGGACATAAACGCGAGTGAAGTGTAACCGGACACCCGAGAGAGATCAGATCAGCTGCTGAGTCTGACGGAGACACGCAGCTCTGCATGATCACCTGAAGCCCCGCCTCTGTTTAGCGAGCTGCAGGAGCTGCATGAGAAACTGACGGGCTGTCAGGAGAGAGAGGGAGGGAGAGAGGAAAAGAGAGCATCCGTTTCTCCCGTGTTATTATTCAAAGTTAATGTAAACTTTTGAATAATGTACGTTATCTACTACAAGTAGTTTGTTTGAATGTAATAATTATGTTGTTTGTTGTTTGTGGAATCATTTATTGAAAAATGGATCTGAATTTTTCGATCTGTTACGATTATAAACTGAAGCAATATAAAAATGAGCCCCGTGAACTGAGTTTTAAACTGAAGCATATCTGCTCATAGTCCGGTAATTACCTGCTAACGGAAACTCTGCTACACAACTCTTACTATTATTATTGAAATATGACCGGTAATTTTCAAATGTATCCGGTAAAATAAATTCTGCCCGGACATTTGACCGGCGAGAAAAAATCCTAGCGGAAACCCTGACACACACATATATATATATATATATATATATATATATACTATTACTATCAAGTGTTCAGAGAGCCCTTCACCTGCAGGGACGCGCTCTACTCTCAGCAGGTACTAATACACACATACACATATATATATATATATATATATATACTATTACTATCAAGTGTTCAGAGAGCCCTTCACCTGCAGGGACGCACTCTACTGTCAGCAGGTACTAATACACACATACACACATATATATATTAGGGCTGTCAAGTTGCGTTAACGCGTTAATAACGCGTTAACGCAAAAAATAATTAACGCCACTAATTATTTTAACTGTTATTCTCTTGTTTTTTATAACTATAATGATCATATAAAGGTGTGCCTTGGAAATACTTATTTACATAAATGATGACCAAACCGTTTGAGACCCACTACTTAGACTAAAGTGAACTATCTAAACTCACTGAGAGTCCTTCACCTCACTGAGCTGTAGTTATCAGCCTCTCAGTCTGACAAGGAAAATCCACCCAAATGGCCCCAGAAGAGGGTTTTTTGCTAAATCTCTCTAAAAAGGTCAAATATCACTTGTTTTCCATCCATCTTGATACAGGGTACTTATTATATGTTGTACTTTGGATTCCTAAAGCTTTTAGTCTACTAACCCATCATCCAAGGTTTCACTACAAGTACAAAATATTTTTGGGACGGACACTATAATTGACAGTTTTTTACCATGTTCAATCTGAATTTACTTTAAAATAAAAAACATCTATATTAGGGCTGTCAAGTTAATGTGTTAATAACGCGTTAACGCAAAAAAAAAATAACACCACTAATTATTTTAACGCGATTAACGCATGTGTATTTTTTGTCCTCGGCCGCCCCGTAGTTTCAGAGCGCATCGAGTTTAAAATACCGTCTACAAGCTGATGCTGACAGCCCCGCTCCTGCCGCCTGCTTGCGGCAGACCACACTTCCACGCTCACCGGCAGGCACCGACTGGCTGTTGGGAGGACCGGGAGGGTGTGTGTATGTGTGGCCCGAGCGAGCGAGAGAGAGACCTTACGTGCATTGTTGTTGTTAGCATCTGGTGCTAGCTAGCTGCGCTAACGGATATAAGGAGCTGTTTAAATGAAAACAGAGGAGCGACATTTCGCCACAACTGCGCCGAGCACTTGACTTTATGCAGGAAGCCAGACAGTGGGACATTGTACGAGAAGTCAGCACACTCAGCACGGATAGTGCGCAACATGATCGCAGCGTCCAGGCAGCTCCGGTTCGAGCATATGCCTTGAGTTGCTCATAGCTCCAACGATCCATCACACACACACACACACACCACACACACACACACACACACACACACACACACACACACACACACACACACACACAGACACGCACACAGACACGCACACAGACACGCACACCGACACACACACACACACACACACACACACACACACACACACACATACACACACACACACACACAGACACGCACACAGACACGCACACAGACACACACACAGACAGACACACACACACACACACATACACACACACACACACAGACACGCACACAGACACACACACAGACAGACACACACACACAGAGACACACAGACACACACACACACACACTGACACAGACACACACACACACACAGACAGACCCAACGTCAATATCTGTATGTCTGCCTAAGTCAGTAAAGGAAGTCAAGCCTCATCTCAGCTCCTCCTTTCTTCTGTTCTGGATCTTTGGCTTTAATGGTTCTGACCCACCAGTGATACATACACAACTAGAGCCAACAGTTTGTGTGTGTGTGTGTGTGTGTGTGTGTGTGTGTGTGTGTGTGTGTATAGGACGTGGACAGCATCTTCTCCAGGGTCCTGGATGTTCACGAGGTGACGGTGAAGCTGCTGGGTCTCATCGAAGACTCGGTGGAGATGACGGACGAGGACAGCCCTCACCCCCTGGTGGGGAGCTGCTTCGAGGACCTGGCAGAGGTACAGACACACACACACACACACACACACACACACACACACACACACACACACACACACACACACACACACACACACACACACACACACACACACTTTGTATTGTATTATTGAATGAGAGAGTTTGTTCAGAGGTTGTTATGTTCACCCCCTGCATGTTCATTTATAAGCCATGTTGGGTAAACTACCTTCTTATATCTGCTCTCTGATCTCTCCACGAATTGAAAGTACGTATTGCCTGAGATCTCATGATGTTGTTTTATTAAATGTGCCGCTAGGACTGTCTTAGGGAAGAAAGCTTTTAGTTGTGCAGCTCCACTAACTTGGAACAGTCTGCAAACATGTTTCAAACTGAGCACTTTGGTTCCCCTGCATCACTTTGAAACTCAGTGTTTGATACTCATGGTGCCTGTCTCTGTGGATAGAGTCTGAACCCTGGACACTCAGTGTTTGATACTCATGGTGCCTGTCTCTGTGGATAGAGTCTGAACCCTGGACACTCAGTGTTTGATACTCATGGTGCCTGTCTCTGTGGATAGAGTCTGAACCCTGGACACTCAGTGTTTGATACTCATGGTACCTGTCTCTGTGGATAGAGTCTGAACCCTGGACACTCAGTGCTTGATACTCATGGTGCCTGTCTCTGTGGATAGAGTCTGAACCCTGGACACTCAGTGCTTGATACTCATGGTACCTGTCTCTGTGGATAGAGTCTGAACCCTGGACACTCAGTGCTTGATACTCATGGTACCTGTCTCTGTGGATAGAGTCTGAACCCTGGACACTCAGTGCTTGATACTCATGGTGCCTGTCTCTGTGGATAGAGTCTGAACCCTGGACACTCAGTGCTTGATACTCATGGTACCTGTCTCTGTGGATAGAGTCTGAACCCTGGACACTCAGTGCTTGATACTCATGGTACCTGTCTCTGTGGATAGAGTCTGAACCCTGGACACTCAGCTGTTTGATACTCATGGTGCCTGTCTCTGTGGATAGAGTCTGAACCCTGGACACTCAGTGCTTGATACTCATGGTGCCTGTCTCTGTGGATAGAGTCTGAACCCTGGACACTCAGCTGCTTGATACTCATGGTACCTGTCTCTGTGGATAGAGTCTGAACCCTGGACACTCAGTGCTTGATACTCATGGTACCTGTCTCTGTGGATAGAGTCTGAAACCCTGGACACTCAGTGTTTGATACTCATGGTGCCTGTCTCTGTGGATAGAGTCTGAACCCTGGACACTCAGTGTTTGATACTCATGGTACCTGTCTCTGTGGATAGAGTCTGAACCCTGGACACTCAGCTGCTTGATACTCATGGTACCTGTCTCTGTGGATAGAGTCTGAACCCTGGACACTCAGTGCTTGATACTCATGGTACCTGTCTCTGTGGATAGAGTCTGAACCCTGGACACTCAGTGCTTGATACTCATGGTGCCTGTCTCTGTGGATAGAGTCTGAACCCTGGACACTCAGTGCTTGATACTCATGGTGCCTGTCTCTGTGGATAGAGTCTGAACCCTGGACACTCAGTGCTTGATACTCATGGTGCCTGTCTCTGTGGATAGAGTCTGAACCCTGGACACTCAGTGCTTGATACTCATGGTACCTGTCTCTGTGGATAGAGTCTGAACCCTGGACACTCAGCTGTTTGATACTCATGGTGCCTGTCTCTGTGGATAGAGTCTGAACCCTGGACACTCAGTGTTTGATACTCATGGTGCCTGTCTCTGTGGATAGAGTCTGAACCCTGGACACTCAGTGTTTGATACTCATGGTACCTGTCTCTGTGGATAGAGTCTGAACCCTGGACACTCAGTGCTTGATACTCATGGTACCTGTCTCTGTGGATAGAGTCTGAACCCTGGACACTCAGTGCTTGATACTCATGGTACCTGTCTCTGTGGATAGAGTCTGAACCCTGGACACTCAGCTGCTTGATACTCATGGTACCTGTCTCTGTGGATAGAGTCTGAACCCTGGACACTCAGCTGTTTGATACTCATGGTGCCTGTCTCTGTGGATAGAGTCTGAACCCTGGACACTCAGTGCTTGATACTCATGGTGCCTGTCTCTGTGGATAGAGTCTGAACCCTGGACACTCAGCTGCTTGATACTCATGGTACCTGTCTCTGTGGATAGAGTCTGAACCCTGGACACTCAGTGCTTGATACTCATGGTGCCTGTCTCTGTGGATAGAGTCTGAACCCTGGACACTCAGCTGCTTGATACTCATGGTACCTGTCTCTGTGGATAGAGTCTGAACCCTGGACACTCAGTGCTTGATACTCATGGTGCCTGTCTCTGTGGATAGAGTCTGAACCCTGGACACTCAGTGCTTGATACTCATGGTACCTGTCTCTGTGGATAGAGTCTGAACCCTGGACACTCAGTGCTTGATACTCATGGTACCTGTCTCTGTGGATAGAGTCTGAACCCTGGACACTCAGCTGTTTGATACTCATGGTACCTGTCTCTGTGGATAGAGTCTGAACCCTGGACACTCAGCTGCTTGATACTCATGGTACCTGTCTCTGTGGATAGAGTCTGAACCCTGGACACTCAGTGCTTGATACTCATGGTACCTGTCTCTGTGGATAGAGTCTGAACCCTGGACACTCAGTGTTTGATACTCATGGTGCCTGTCTCTGTGGATAGAGTCTGAACCCTGGACACTCAGTGCTTGATACTCATGGTACCTGTCTCTGTGGATAGAGTCTGAACCCTGGACACTCAGTGTTTGATACTCATGGTGCCTGTCTCTGTGGATAGAGTCTGAACCCTGGACACTCAGTGCTTGATACTCATGGTACCTGTCTCTGTGGATAGAGTCTGAACCCTGGACACTCAGCTGTTTGATACTCATGGTACCTGTCTCTGTGGATAGAGTCTGAACCCTGGACACTCAGCTGCTTGATACTCATGGTACCTGTCTCTGTGGATAGAGTCTGAACCCTGGACACTCAGTGTTTGATACTCATGGTACCTGTCTCTGTGGATAGAGTCTGAACCCTGGACACTCAGTGCTTGATACTCATGGTGCCTGTCTCTGTGGATAGAGTCTGAACCCTGGACACTCAGCTGCTTGATACTCATGGTACCTGTCTCTGTGGATAGAGTCTGAACCCTGGACACTCAGTGCTTGATACTCATGGTGCCTGTCTCTGTGGATAGAGTCTGAACCCTGGACACTCAGTGTTTGATACTCATGGTACCTGTCTCTGTGGATAGAGTCTGAACCCTGGACACTCAGTGCTTGATACTCATGGTGCCTGTCTCTGTGGATAGAGTCTGAACCCTGGACACTCAGTGCTTGATACTCATGGTGCCTGTCTCTGTGGATAGAGTCTGAACCCTGGACACTCAGTGTTTGATACTCATGGTACCTGTCTCTGTGGATAGAGTCTGAACCCTGGACACTCAGTGTTTGATACTCATGGTACCTGTCTCTGTGGATAGAGTCTGAACCCTGGACACTCAGTGTTTGATACTCATGGTACCTGTCTCTGTGGATAGAGTCTGAACCCTGGACACTCAGTGTTTGATACTCATGGTGCCTGTCTCTGTGGATAGAGTCTGAACCCTGGACACTCAGTGTTTGATACTCATGGTACCTGTCTCTGTGGATAGAGTCTGAACCCTGGACACTCAGTGTTTGATACTCATGGTACCTGTCTCTGTGGATAGAGTCTGAACCCTGGACACTCAGCTGTTTGATACTCATGGTGCCTGTCTCTGTGGATAGAGTCTGAACCCTGGACACTCAGTGCTTGATACTCATGGTGCCTGTCTCTGTGGATAGAGTCTGAACCCTGGACACTCAGTGTTTGATACTCATGGTACCTGTCTCTGTGGATAGAGTCTGAACCCTGGACACTCAGTGCTTGATACTCATGGTACCTGTCTCTGTGGATAGAGTCTGAACCCTGGACACTCAGCTGCTTGATACTCATGGTACCTGTCTCTGTGGATAGAGTCTGAACCCTGGACACTCAGCTGCTTGATACTCATGGTGCCTGTCTCTGTGGATAGAGTCTGAACCCTGGACACTCAGTGCTTGATACTCATGGTGCCTGTCTCTGTGGATAGAGTCTGAACCCTGGACACTCAGTGTTTGATACTCATGGTGCCTGTCTCTGTGGATAGAGTCTGAACCCTGGACACTCAGTGCTTGATACTCATGGTACCTGTCTCTGTGGATAGAGTCTGAACCCTGGACACTCAGTGTTTGATACTCATGGTGCCTGTCTCTGTGGATAGAGTCTGAACCCTGGACACTCAGCTGCTTGATACTCATGGTGCCTGTCTCTGTGGATAGAGTCTGAACCCTGGACACTCAGTGCTTGATACTCATGGTGCCTGTCTCTGTGGATAGAGTCTGAACCCTGGACACTCAGCTGTTTGATACTCATGGTACCTGTCTCTGTGGATAGAGTCTGAACCCTGGACACTCAGCTGTTTGATACTCATGGTGCCTGTCTCTGTGGATAGAGTCTGAACCCTGGACACTCAGTGCTTGATACTCATGGTACCTGTCTCTGTGGATAGAGTCTGAACCCTGGACACTCAGCTGTTTGATACTCATGGTGCCTGTCTCTGTGGATAGAGTCTGAACCCTGGACACTCAGCTGTTTGATACTCATGGTGCCTGTCTCTGTGGATAGAGTCTGAACCCTGGACACTCAGCTGTTTGATACTCATGGTACCTGTCTCTGTGGATAGAGTCTGAACCCTGGACACTCAGCTGTTTGATACTCATGGTGCCTGTCTCTGTGGATAGAGTCTGAACCCTGGACACTCAGCTGCTTGATACTCATGGTGCCTGTCTCTGTGGATAGAGTCTGAACCCTGGACACTCAGCTGTTTGATACTCATGGTGCCTGTCTCTGTGGATAGAGTCTGAACCCTGGACACTCAGCTGCTTGATACTCATGGTGCCTGTCTCTGTGGATAGAGTCTGAACCCTGGACACTCAGTGCTTGATACTCATGGTGCCTGT